TATTTGACTATGAATGAAGCTTAATATTATTAATTATAACTTCAGATTTCTTAAAAAAAAAAAAAAATGTATGATAAATATTGGTACTTGCAGGTGCTCTGTCCATGTACAATTTTAAGAAAAACGAAAACGCTTCACAATTTTTGATTACGTTCAAACCCTTGCTAACCCTTGATGAGAGATATGTTGTTTTCGGTAGAGTTGTAAAAGGATTGAACGTATTGAAATCGGTATACACTTAATCAAACTTCATCAATAACAACATTTATTATTCATATGTGTACAAAATGATTCACTAAGCAAACTCAACCCATTTTAAATTTTGCATATATTCAAATTCTAATTTTTGGAATTTTTAAGTGTAGTTAAGACCGATATTTTCGAATACTAAAGTTTTTCACAACAATTAAGGCGCACCATTTGTCGTAATACCAACATTAGTTTTTCAAATGAGAACCTATATTTAAAATTTCATAAATAAACTGAGTATTACTTTAAATACATTTTGGTGTCAAGTTTTGATTTCCGTCAACCTGTTAACAAGATATTCCTCTTTAAAGTTTAGGGGAGAGTAGTGATAGAATTTGGCGTTTTATTATTGCTCGGATACTCTCTCTCTACCTATACTTAAAAATGAAATATCTCGTCAACGTGTTGACGGAAATCAAACATTTCTACACCAAAATGTATTTAAAGTAATGTATATATATATATATGGAATTTACAATATAGGTTCTCATTTGAGAAACCAAAGTTAGTATCACAACAGAATGCTCCTCAAATGTTGTGAACAATTTAAGAATTCAAAAATATCTGCTTTAACGACACAATAATTCCAAAAAATCAGAATTTAAATAAATTTATAATTTAAACGAAAAAATACGACGAATACGCTTAGTGAATCATCCAGTATATATTTATACATATAAAAAAAATGTCTTGTTAGCTACCTAAATCAATATTTACTATTTCAGATAGAGGATTTAGGATACCCGTCTGGTAAACCGAAACACAAGATAATAATTAATGAATGTGGACAATTGTGTTAAAAACATTAAATTTTTTAAATACTCGTTTATTTATTTAACGTAAAATTCTCATTATTTCGTAAAGTATTGACTCTTTGAAAAAATTTACTTTGACTATTTTAGAAAACAGTAGCTCTAAAATATAATACTACCATTATATTTGGCACCTTATTTTTCGGAGTATAATGATATCTACTTTTCATTTTTAAATGGTTACCTATATTAAAAATGTCATAAATAGAGTATTAGTTTAAGTAAGTACATTATGGTGTTGTAATTTTTCATTTCCTTCAACTCATTGACGAGGGTGTCCTACATTAAAGTTCTAAGTGTGGGTAAGAAGTAGAGCTCTGCACGGTCCGGTTTTTTTAAGAGTGGACCGAACCAGTGAGGTCAATTTAAGAACAGAACCGAACCGGACTTATCGAATAAACCACGAGACCCGACCGAACTGAACCGTTTATTTTTTTTAAATAAAAAAGACCGAGACCGGACTGCGTTAAAGTATATTAGGACCAAACTGGATCGGACCGGACTGGGCCGAACCGGACCTATAATGGACTGAATTATTATTTAAAAATTATATTATTAATGTAAAAAGTTCAAAAGTCGTAGGAATAGAACAATACATTTTTTTATTTAAAAATAAAAAAATTCTTAAAAACCACTTCAAAAAATAACTAAAAAATAAAATTACAATTTTAGGAACATAATACCTATATTCAGTATTCATATTACTCACTTATTATGTATATTATTGTTTGTTATTTTTAAAGAGAGCGCGGATATTTATGTTAAAACATGTTTTTAATGAATGTATGCACAACCACGAGATTAATATTTGTCAACAATTCACAATACAAATAATTTAAATACAAAATTATATTTTACATATAAGTACATATTTTGATACATATTTGATATTGGGGTGCTCAGTGTGTCCGGGTGGGAGATCTACTAAATCATCCAAAAGTGAGAAACGTTTATCTTTATGAAAAAGATCATCAGGTGTGTATGCTGTAACTTCATATGTAGTGTTGTTTATTACCCATTTGATATATTTCACATAACGAGACTACTCAGTGTGTGAATCTGAGCAATAAGTCCGAAAAAATCGTCCAAGTTCATGCATCATCCTTTCGGCGGGGTTACTTTAAGGATAGTAAACATTCGAAGTAGTTTAAATTTGTATATTTAATGTCACAGGAAAACGCACCACGAAATTTGACCTCTCTGATTTGGCTACATTTTAATATTTTCTAATTTTTCGTATTTTATGGTATTATTAATATAAAATTATTTTCAAGTTTTAATCGCGAATCAGATGACAAAAAAACACGTTATGTGATTATTAATAAACATTCTTGTCTATAATACTTCAACGGTTAGACAAAGTTTCAGTAAAAATTTTAATTTAGCCATTATTTAAAATGCGTCAATTTATTATGGACTACGCACTCATTCCTGAGTTTATTCAGAATAAGGAGAAAAAATAAGAAAGAAAAAAACAAAAAAAACAAAAGAGACAACTCAAATAGAACGGGAAATAAAGCATTATAAAGAAAACGATAGGTAATATTTACCATTAAAGTTGTTATCAATCGTAAAAAGTAACAGATCATTTAATAACGTTTTGTTTAGTTTAGATTTCAATACCTATGAAAACAACCTCGTTATCGAATCAATTACTGATTCATCAGGCACCGATAAATAGAAACTTTGTAATCTCACTCTAAAATATGAGATCTACATGGGTCCGATCGCAGAGGTTATAAAGGACTATGATGTTGACTATGGCACACAATGTGTTGAAATTAGTGAAAATGCGTTAACTAAATTAATAGATACATGTACAAGTAAAAACTTGCATGTACATGAACGCGAATCATTTGAAATAGGATTGTTGAATGATATCGGTCATACGTCTCGTTGTGGTAGTTGACACGTGTTTCAAGGTCCTTTATTAGTTTACCAATATAATTTAATTACTCCCAAAAATCTTTTAGATCGAAAGTTTATGCAAAACTTTGGACCAAAGAACTTATAATTAGACAAGATAATTCAAAAATTCTTACAGATTTATACGAAACAGATGATATAATTGTTAGTATCTAAAAATCAAAGAATAAAGTAGAAATTATTACACACATTTTAGATTTGTTTATATCTCGAGAAAAATATATATTTTTTCAATACTTTTTGGCCGTACTAACACTCATGGCGAAGAAAGGAGTGGAAGACCATCCGTCATATCAGATGATCTTCTGCAGCAGGTTGTAAATTAAGTTCGAAATGATCGTGACTCTTGACATCCTTAGTGAAAGTTGTTCACACATCTCACGAAATCTCCTGGATAAATCTTATCAGAAAAATTTGGTTATAAGAAGCCATGTCCGGCCCGCGAAAGGAAAAAATATGGACCACCAAAAATTTTCTTAATTTTCCTATATATCCTATGCTTCACTCCCCCCACCCTTCATAACAAAAATTAAACTAATATTGAAATCGATTTCATGAGGCGCTGAGACAATAATAACGGTTTATCATTGAACGTGCCGCAGTCACGGCTGCGGTCCGAGTCGCTTGCATTCGCGTGTGTGTGTAAAATACAATATTCAGATTTCAGAGGCGATCTATTTTTATGATTTATTAGGAAATTACGATAGCGTTCATCGTATAAAGCTGTTTATAATAATATTCACGGTAACAGAACACCATACATTGAACCTAATTCTTGAAACACTTAATAATATTATTTAGTTCAATTTAATCGTTAACGCGTTGCGTTTGTCGTTCGTAGTCCGCCGCATCCGTAGTGTTAAAACTTATTAATTTATAAATATTATTCGTGTGCAATCGAGTATGTTTTCCAAAAAACGTAAAGTTGACAATGAAAACAGAAAGTTTCTGGCTGAGTGGACCGAACAAAATTTTTTTACTCTTACAGTAAGAGCTGGAGCCGTTTCAGTTTGTCTCATATGCAATAGTACAGTTGCTGTCGTTAAATGTGCTAATTTAAAGCGTCATATGATACAACGCATAAAGATTTTGAAAACAAATTTCCTCTTGACAGTGCAGCGCGTAAAGATAAGCTCCAAGCGTATCTCTTGTCTTATAAAAATAGTACGACTATGTTAGTAAAAAGTATGAGTGGGCAAGAAAAGTCAATAGATGCAGCATTGCGTGTTTGCTGGACGTTAAATAAGCACCAAAAGCCATTTACAGACTCAGAAATTGTAAAAGAGTGTATGTTGGAAGTAGCCACTGCACTTTTTGAANTGGAGAATGGATTGATCTTGCTACAAAATTATTCAGACTTCCAAAATCTTCACTTCAAATGGAAATTATTGATTTGCAAGAAGATATCTCATTGCAAATGAATAAGACTTCGTCTACTAAAGATTTTTGGATAAAACATGTCTTGGATAAATACATAAACTGTAAAACCCTTGCCATAAAATTAGCTACTATGTTTGGCTTCACTTATGTATGTGAAACTTCGTTTTCAAATATGTCGTTTTTAAAAAACCAATACCGTTCAAGATTAACAAATCACCACCTTGAAAACACTTTACGCATCAGTTGGTTCTCCAAGAGTACCAGATTTTAAAAAATTAGCTCAAGAAAAGAAATGTCATTTTTTTCATTAAATTTTGTTATTATTAGTATGAATGTATTATTACTTTATAAATAATTAAATATTAAATACTGTGTCTTAAAATGTGTTTTTAATACAAAAATAAATGCATTAATGATAAAATTATGTTTAAGATTTTTTTGGCCCTCGAAATTTTTATTTTTAAATATCTGCCCGCCATATAAATTAATTGCCGACCCCTGCTCTAGAACATCGTCAAAATCGTGTTCTGGCTGCACGTGTTCTGGTCACGAAACGTGTGTGTGTCACTATATTCTTGAGTCAAAAGGGCAGTCTCTACAGTGGTGTTATACCCATTCACCATCAACCAAAAAATTCAAAGTACAATTTTCAGAGAGGAAGATCGTGGCATCTATCTTTTGGCACTTGTAAGGGATATGATTTGTCGATTTTATAGATAAAAGAACCACCATAAATGCATCTGCACCTGTGAGACACTTAAGAAGTTGAAAAAGAAAATCAAAGACAAAAGGAGAGGAATGCTAATTCATTGTATGTCACTCCTTTATGACAATCATACCGCCCGTTTAACTTAGAACCTGCTTGTTTCATTTGGATTGGATATTGTGACTCACCCACCCTATCCCCGGACCTGGCACTATCGGATTATCATCTTTTCAATAAATTTAAGAACTTTTTGGGTGAACAACTATTTTCAAATGACGAGGAGGTTCAGGATGCTGTGAAAAAGTGGCTTCGAGAAGTGGAGAGAAAGGTATACGACGAGGGTATACAAAAACTGGTCCCTAGGCTTAAAAAATGTATTGACCTCAATGGTGATCTATGCTGTGAATAGAAATGTTTAATACACAAAGTCCAACAATTTCATCATGAAAGATTGAGTAATATGATACTTCAAGATTTGGTATCTTTGTCTACATTTTTCTTTCTATTTTTAAATACTTAGGACTCTCAGCTATCAACTGGTACGGTTAAAAATGTAATACTAAACTGTATTATTATATTTTAAAATTATTAGAAGCAAATGTAATTATTAGTATAATATGTTCTAAATTGTTTAAAATATTGTTTGTTTTATAATTATATTTCCAAGACGTATCATAATATGTATTAAATTATTTGTCATCATGCTATTCTTCGCATTACAGTCACTGTATAAACGGATTTAGAATATGTATTTTGATATTATATAGATAATGTAGCGGCGCCTACCTCTGTCTCTCAAAACTTTTGAGGGAGGTAAGGATCATAAGAGACACTGGAACTATCCCATCCGTATGCTAATCTATTCGTAACGCAAACATTCATTCTTTGTATAACGACCTTCTTTCGAAATATCACTTTCATCACAAATTTTCATTTAATAAAAACTTGTATGAATATTAGTTATATATTTGTTTTTCAAATAATAATAACATAAATTCAAAGCATAATATATACTTATAATTCAGTATTATTATTATTTTTTTTCACATTCAATAATTTAAAATAATGTTTTTTCAAAATAATATGTTGGTAGGTATAATATTCATATATTATAATTAATAATAATAGTATAATAGTTCAGATTATGTTTTATAAATACTAAAATTAAATACACAAATTAAGTATATGTAATATTTTCTCTGTTTTTATATTTCTGTAATTTTCTTAAAATCTAATTTAATTGATAATATTACTATTAAATACTTATATATTTATTTCAGTTACTGTTTTTTATTTGTAGTTTACAATAATACAGAATTTAATAACCAAAACTCAGCTTATGGCTGCAACTGGGCGTGGACTTGAAAAATTTAAACTGGTATACCAATTGATTCAATTTTTTTTCAATACTGTTCTCCTGTAATTATTTTAAAAATAAAGGAGATTAGTTTGAAATATCCTTTAAAATTTAATATTCATATTTTATGTACATAGGAGAACTTAAAAGAGTTTTAAAATGTTACAATCACTATACAACAAAATTGTCGTGAGAGACTTGACTTATTGAATATATATTTCACAAAAAAATTTAATGTTTCATGTAATTTTTAAAATGAGTATCAAAAACATTACCTCAAAATATAATACCATACAACACTATTGATTCTACTAGAGATTTATATATTGTTTTAATTTTAACAGTGAAGATATTTTTTAAACACTTAAATACATAAAATTATTTTTGAATCAATATTATTAATTAATTTATATAGAAATTTCATTTCAAGAATTCATCGAAATGTATACATAAATATCTTACAGTGTGAGTTTTATTAATTAAAGGGCAGGTGCAATTATTTCCATCAATCTTTTACAAGAGACAATGTGTTATATTAATTAATTAAAATTAAAATTATTGTATTCTAAACTATTTTAAAATCTATAAAATTAGATTTTGTAAGATTAAGTTGTAAAGATTTATTGTTGAACTAATTGTAATTAAGTTAATATCTGTATTAGCTTCATGTTTAAAGTACAGTGGACAAGAGCTGCTAATAAGAAAAATTGTGTATGTATAATTATTGTGTACACAATACTCCAAAATATTGGTTAAGTAAGCTATTAATATGTATAATAAAAAGTAGTGGTAATTTTTTAAATAACGTTGCAGGAAATAGAATTAAACCAGTTAATATTAGTATAATACTGTACCAGTTTTAGCTGGTGATGGTTTACCTTGTAAGCATTGTTTTTCATTCACGTTCCACACGTCATCTACTACATATGTGTCCTAGTCCGTTTAACATAAATCGTTTTCTTACTTAAACCCGCGTTTACAGAAAGATTGGATTTTACTACAGCCGGATGCAGAAAAAGAAATCTGATTAAACCCGAATCTTCCTCGTGTGAATTAATTCACTTCTCACTTAGAAATCTACAAAAAACTGGTAATTATAATAAATCTACCATACACAACACGGTCTCCCTGACTGTCGGTGGCGGCCGTTATCTCTTCTCTTATGTAACCCAATAACAAACAATGTCTGAAAATGGGAATGCTAATATAAATCGTAATAATAACAGATCAAACAATACCAACTCTAATACACCCCGTATACAGAGTGCTTCATACTCGAAAGCAACATAAATATTTCTGAATATAAAATAGTACATTCCAAAAAGAATCGCATTCTCTCCACTGATAGTTCATCATCAAACTTAAATAAAAAAATATCAAACCTATTTTTGCATCAACAAATAGATACGCTATTCTCGACAGTGAAAATATTGTAACAAATAATGAAAATAATAATACTGAAGCAAATCAGACCAAATCTGATACAATTCAAACCGAATCCAATGCTAACATGGACACGGACGAAAAAAAAATCAAACCACCTCCATCCATTTTCGTCCGCGGATTGTTGGATTTTGCCGCACTTCGTACTATTCTAATCAACTCAGTTGGAATCAATAACTTTTTTGTCAAATCAACTTCCAAAAACCTAAAGATACAATCCATCAACTCTGACACTTACAGATCGATTATAAAGTACTTGAAAGAGTCTAAAGCAGAATGCCACATATTTCAAGTTCAGGAAGATAAATCTTTTCGTATTGTTGTTAGAAATTTGCATCCATCTACCCCAACAGTTGATATAGGTATTGCAATTCAAGAAATTGGATACACAGTTCGCAGTGTTATGAACGTTTTACACAAAACCACAAAAAGTAAACTTCCGATATTCTTCGTTGATTTAGAACCTGCTAAAATCAACAAAGACATCTTTCATCTAAATTCAATACTTAACACAAAGATCCAAATAGAAGAACTGTACAAAAGACGGGATATTATCCAGTGTACAAACTGCCAAGAGTACGGACACTCTAAAACCTATTGTGCATATCCATCAAGATGTGTTCGCTGTAACTTCAACCATTCAACCTTAGCTTGCAACAAGACCAATGATCAGCCACCTGTGTGTGTAATCTGTGGTGGTGATCATACTGCAAATTATCGTGGATGTCAAGTTCACAAGAATCTGCAGAAACTCCAACACGACAAATCCATTTCAAACAATAAATTCAACAAAAAAGTAACATTAATTATAGTAATATTGTAAAGGGGGAAGGCGTTAAAAGTGATAGTGCACATACTTTTCCTCCGGATTTAACAGACACCTCGTCTTTTCCTCACTTAAGTCAAAAACCTCCTCGATTTAAATCTCAAAATAACAATGTGAATTCACATGACTCTATAGCAATCCAATTATCCTCATTCATTTTTGAATTTAAACTGATAATTAATCCTCTCATATCACTCCTCACAACAGTTATAGATAAACTCTTAAAATGATGATCAATAGTCAACGTAACTCTAACGAAGTAAAGGTAATACTTTGGAATGCTAATGGTATAAAACAAAATAAAGCAGAACTTTTAAATTTATTACAAGAAAAACAAATTGATTTAGCACTTATCTCGGAGACACATTGTAAACCGTGCACTAAACTATTTTTCCCGGGCTTTAAGGTTTATAGAACTGATGATTCTGACAAAACTGCTCATGCAGGATCTGCTATAATAATTTTATCTAAGATCCAGCCCCTTTTTTTTTCGTCTAATCAGACGCCTACTATACAGGCAACTGACATCCAAATAACGTTGATTCATAAACCAATTAAAATATCTTCCATTTATCTTCCTCCATACCCTGCTATTAATTCAAAACAATAAGAAGAATTTTTTAAATCTCTCGGTCAAACATTTTTAATAGGAGGTAACCTCAATGCCAAACACTCCCAGTGGGGCTGCATATCTGATAACTCAAAAGGTAAAATAATAAAAAAAATAATGAACAATTACAATTATATACACATATCCCCAAAAGGTTCCACCTATTGACCCCAACATCAAAATAGACACCCAGATATTTTAGATTTATTCATATCAACATTACCCAGTTATATTAATTTTTCTGTTACCAATTTAAACGATCTCAGCTCTGACTGCACTCCGGTCCTGCTCCAACTAAACGTAGCTCCAGAACTAAATCCTATGCATCCTTCTTTATCACAAGGTCCAATAAAATAGAACGAGTTCGCTGAAATCATGCGAAATACCGCCAACTTAAAAATCTCTTTTAAATCAAAAACTGACGTGGAAAACGCTGCCCACGACCTCACAACCTCGATACAATCAGCTATATACAAATGGTCATACCCATATACCCCAACGAGTATAAATCAAACAAGTAATCAAACCTTGCCTATCTATATAAGAACTTTAATTTCTGATAAACGTCGTGCTCGTTCCAGATGGCAAAAATATCGATACCCATCTGATAAAAATATGTTCAATCACTTGTCAAACAATATGAAAAAGTTAATATCTAAAGATAAAACTGAATATTTTGAAAAAAACATATCAATCCCTAAACACAAATGATGGCTCACTTTGGAAAACTACAAAAAACTTACTTAATATAAAACAGCAACTTCTGCCGATAACTGGCCCTAACAGATCCATGTTAATTAATATATGTTAAGTTTAAGACATTTNAGCTGTAAAGGGTTTGACTTCAACCTCTAATAGAAGTTATTTTGTGTCAAAGCATAGCTGTTTTAATTTAATATATTAAATGATTTTTATAAGTCGTCTATGAGTAGTTGGTGATTGGTATAATATGTCACAAGTGGGTTATTGTATAGTAGTCTCATGTGATTACCTTGTGTAGTTCATAGGTACAATATACAATAGGCTTTATTTTAATATTGCATTTGTACCATCACACACCCTGACCTTTGGAATCCACATTAAATTTCTGAGAATTAAATAGGCACTTATTAGTAACTTCACAAGTATCAATGTGATAACTATTGGACCTCTATAATACAGGATTTTGCACACTGGGATGTGTATGTACAGAGTTAAGGAAATAAAGAAACAACTGGTATAAGTGCCTATATTTGACTAATATATTATGATCGATATACTATTTGTTATACTAATTCTAGGAACAAAAACCAAAAATCTATTTTATTTTATTAAAAAATAGAATAATATAAAAATTGATTCTTTGAGATGTATACTATTTAAAGAAATGAAGGAAATTTGAATTTATAAAAACTCCTAAAATACCAGGTTGATTACTCAGTCGATTACTGGATCGAGCACTGGTTTGGAATCTGACTTGTGCACCACCACGGATGATACTGTCAAATTATTGTATTCCACGAATTCTTCCATCTCTTTATCGATCTCACTGACATTTGGAGAATTTTCCATGATTATTGTAACTTCACTTATAGCCGCCTCGTCGTGAAGAACGTGAATATCATTATCAGGATCCTGAATAAAATTAAAACTACATATATTAAAAAAAAAAATTACATAAATAAATATACAGGTTGTAATAATAAAATCTGATACCTTATAGGTATACATTTTGTTCTATTAGATACTTTCAAGTTTTATTTCCGTGTTATGAACTAAAGAGCTTTTTACTATGATTTTTTTAATTTTTTTATCAATTAAAAATTAAAAATTTTAATTTTTAAAAAAATGCTATTTTGTTATGTTTTAATGTTGGTATCATATATTATTTAATAATGATAAATCTTTAATTTATCTACAATGTTTAGAATAATACAATAGTTTAAATTCTTTGCTACTACTAAATAGTATTGCAGTGGACTTCCGTCACAGTACTTCATTTCTGGTTGACTCGCTGCGATGAGGTTTGCCGCAACTGGTTCCACCTTTGTGACCCATAGAGTAATACAGAANAATTTTTTTTTTATTTGGTACGATGTGTGTCTGTACTTTAAAATGTTGTCTATGAAAAAAACAACTATTATCTTGTCTTGTGAGTTACGGTTTAATACCTTTTGGTTTTTATTTAATTATCTTGAGTAGTATAAAAAGGTTTGTCCTGGGCCAGGTGCTACTATAATTCACATTTCCATCCAATGGGAGGAGTAGTAATAGATTTAAAAATAAATGAAACAATATTAATTGTATTGAATACAATTGCAGGAACACTAGACAAATATAGTAATTGCAAAGGCACAACTTTTAAATCAAGTAGAAGACAACTGATCCCCAGAGGTTTTGTAGCAGATGCCTACTGTCAGCCGTCCGCGTCTTAGCGCTGGGCACTACTTGCCGGCAGTCGTGATGCTGGATCGACGACGGTGAGCCCCCGCCGGTCCAGGGTCTTCGGGGGGAACACTGGACCCGGGCTTTTGAGGCCCATACCTTTCTCGCGACCGGGATGGGTTCCCGTACGCCTACAAGGTGCAGTGGATTAGCTTTACTATCTCGCACCACACCCACATCCATCAAGTTTTAGACTCCTCAACCTTGAGGACACTAGTGCGGAGCGGCCAGGCCGGTCCGGCGTGAAGTGGGGCTCCCCAGCCCGTAGTACCGACTAGGTTTTAAGTTGACGTAGATAGGTCAACCCGAAACTACGTCTCTCCCACTATTATGGCTCCCCAGTCGGCTAGTGGTGGGCCTAATCAAGCAAAGGACAGTGTAAAGATGTTGTCATACAAGCTAAATTTTAAATACTATTATCAAAAGGTACAGCTATAGTAAATAACAAAGATCCTTATACTTCCAACGAGCACAAAAATGAAATTTTCAGAAAACTATGGTATTGATTTATTTAAAGGAGAACAAATATGGAAAAATAACAATTTAAATTGTGAAGTACAAAATTTTAATACTTTATACCATGGTCCAGCATCGTTAATAATATCAAACGCTGTTAATGATTTTTCAGATACTATATTATATACCTATATTGTAGAGACTTATAAAATAATATTTTCCCAAAAACAAATTAAAAAATGTTTTGCAAGCAAAATCCCGCTAATTCAACCCAAACAATCCATGTGACGGTTAGTTTTATTAGATATATCCATATTATTTGTGTACGCATCTAAAAATTTTTTATAATCATCAAATCTCATATGCTTATTAATTACATAATTTTTCACGTCTTTGGATTTCTAAAATTTGATTTTATCTGCTTTACATGCGTACAGTTTAGAACGTAATTCTATAAATTGTTTTAATATTTCACTTTTCAGTTCATCTTTAAAAAATCTTGATTGATTTTTCTAACTGTCATAGAAACAGATGTGGAAATAATTTATTTTTTTAATCATTGAAAAAGTTGTCTAGAATTGACTTGGATATTTTAGATATATCTAATATAGTAAATTCTACACAAATAGGTTTATCGAATTAAATTATTTTATTATTCATATGTATAGTCATTATATTTTCGAAATATATCGTCCTGTCTTTAAATGATGGTTTGGACATTAACTTTTTCGCCTGTTTTTCGGTACTTATAAGTTGTATAGAGATTCTCTTTCTTATGTTCTTCATACACTTACCAAAAACAATATTCACTTTTTGTTCCCAATAAAATTGACCAACAATAATTTATAATGTCAAGAAATTTATATTTTTATTTAAAATGTACAATAATTTAGTTAAAAAAAAAATGAAAATAAACATAAAGGTCATAATACAAAAAAAAAACCAAATTATCAACAGAACTCCTCAGAATCTTTTTTTGTTAGCAATGGTTTATCGTTTTTGATTACAGTCACACATCAAATTTCCCCTCAACTATCTTTCAAACTTCTCATCTACAACAGTGGACCATCCCTGTGCGAAATTGCTCAGCTTTTTTAATTTTGTTACAATAGTATTTTTATTTAAACGAGTTTTATTCGCATACGTTAATAAACCAATTCAATTATAAAACTAGGAAACATTACCTGTTCTGTGGATATACTTTCCAATTGAATATTTTCAGTGCGATTTTCTTTCATCGTCTGCTTCCTTTCATAAACCCATAATACAAACAAAACTACGAAAAGAGAAATGAACGCCAGGACATTCAGGGCGATCATTGAAAAAAGAATAGTTTTCAACGTATTTATTAAATCATACACGTCTAAAAAAGAAATAAAAATGCAACTATTGTTTGTTTTAATAAGCACATAAATTTACATTCATATTATTTGTAGCGTAGAGCGAGTTACTAAGTAATGTGGCATGAAAATATGTTCATAAGAGAATCAGGCCCAAACGTACACACAAGTAACGTGCTTACGACTGTCAATAGTGGGGATATTTTTTTCCTAGTACCTAGTATATATTATTATGTAATAATCAAAATGTATAATAATAAAATAGTTTTATAGATTCCGAGTGCATAATATAATTTATTGGTTTTACAAAGATGTGTATTTATTTGTTTATTTTTTTTATGTGAACACTTTTTCTACCAGAAAGTTTACTTCAATATATACTATGTAGACCCTGTTCTGAAAGAATATCTCACTAATAGTAACTTTAGGGAGGTAACTTTTCGATGTTCTCAGGAATTTTATCAACAAATATGAAAACCCGAAAAAAAACTGAGGAAAAACGGGAAAATGTAAGAAATTTAGTTATGAGTTAAACATATTACAGCCTTCTGTTTTTTTTCTGTAGAAAACTTTTCTACCAGTAATTTTGCTCCAACTGATGATAGAAATTTTTCTATAAGGAAAATTGACTGGGAAGTACTTTATGGAGGTCATTTTTTGATTTTCCAAGAGTCATCAAATGTGAAAAAACCTAATAAAAACGGAGAGAAAACCGGAAAAAACGTAGGAAATTCGGTATGTTTTGGTAGAAAAGTTGTCCACAGAAAAAAAAAAATAATATCATACTTAAATATACTACTCAAAATACATTTTTCACATATTCCCGTTTTCTTTTCTTTCGGTTTTTTGTATTTTATGAGAAAATTTGAGAAAATCGGAAAATGACCTCTTTAAGGTAACTTCCCACACTGATTTCCTTTCCAGAAAAGTGGCTACATGTAAAAATCGGAGCAAGTCCTCTGCTAGAAAAGTTGTCCAAAAAAAAAAAAAAAGTTGTAATACCATACGCATCTTCGCTTTACTCAGGATCTAAAAGTTGATATGTATTCTAGCTTAACAAATTAAGGGCCACCTCTTCAAACATTTTTTCTGCTACGGTACTGCTGCAGGTTATTTTAATTTTATTTACTCACCTTTTAATTGATTTTCCGAAACATATTGTTTGATAAAGTCGTGTATATAATCTATAAACAAAAAATTTTTAATTATTTTGTATAATTTGTAATTTAAGTTCAAAATAAAATCTAAATTTATTAAATTACCAATAAGCGTTTTGCAGATAATCAATAGGTACCTAACTAATATAATTGTATAACTGTGTAACAAATTAAATGTAGAATATTATGTAGACTGTTGTTGCAATATAATCTTATTGTGTTTATTTTTTAAAATTTGATTAAGTAAGTTTGATTAATTTTATTTTATTTTAAAAATGTATCATAACTTTATGGTAATGCCTACATATTCTGGTTTTGATAGTTTTTAAGTTTTTAAAAGTAGGAAAATTTTATATTTCTCCTAAAAATCACTTATTGGAATTTGCATTTAGTACCTAAATGTTATAAAATTATATTATTATATCTGATGGTTCTGTTGTCGAAAAAAGTTCTAGTTTAGTCTTTAACAACTTAATTGCTGTTTCTATTTCACTTCAGGAAAACAGAATGGAGATGGCTAATGTTAACTGGAAATAATGTAATATTATTTTTTTATTTAAATATTTGATGGAAGTGACGATTAGATTATAACGTTGTAATTTATCGCAAGTTACATTAATTTCGAAAAAAAAATACGTAAGTGACTGTTGTATGGAGTAAATGGGCCGTTATTTAACCTATATACATTAAACCGTGATATAGAGACAGCCCACGAGTAGATTCCTTATTAATATTAAAACACTATATTTTTTGTTAAATAACTTGCACACGAGTAAATGAATTATCTATTATTATATCGTAATTTCTTATCAAATATCATATACAATTTGAATATTAAATTACATTTTAATTTTATAGCAAGTTTGTGTCACAAGCATATAAATTAAATAATGAACACCTACAATAAAATTAATTTATCCTTAGACTCAAATTTAAAATTTAAAAATGCTATATGAACAAGAATTTTATTTTCCTGTTTCATTAAATGAAAATGCAAGTCAAAACCAGCCAATAAAAATGTTCAAAAACAGTTGAGATTTGTTCAACTAAAAATAAACCGACATTGAACAACATAAAAAACAAATAATAGATGATTCCAACAAAAAAGATAGGTTTCCTTATGTCCATATTGATTTGCAGTTTGACCATGCATATGGACAATAAGACACATATGCTATTTACATTATGATCCTACATTCATACACTTATTATTATTATTATGTTGTATTTTTGTATAATGTTCTGTAGTTTGTACATACATGTTTATAAGATACTGTCATACATAATATTAGGTTATTTAATATGAAGTATTATAATTATAATTGATAAAGAATTTGCTCTAGACTGTCTCTAGACCATAGATATATTAATAAATGTAATGTGCCTTCTACATACTCCGTCTATATCTTTGAAGAACCATTTTAAGTTAACAATTAAATATTTTTCGTGGTATATGATTTGTTCTTCTATAATCATCTTAAGTCGTATGCCATGTTTTTCTAACAATATTAATATACAAACCTCTCTAGGTTCAGTCCATTTAATAATAAGTCTATGCTCTAGAATCTCGTATGTTTTTATAATCGAGGTATAACTGATACAAATTATGAGATATATTAATTCATGCAGCTTGGTTGTTTTCACAAAATTTCATAATAATTAATTTATTATCAACAAAGTGATTAAATATACTTATACCAATAACAAAAATTTGTACACCATGACATTTATGAACTATCAACTCCTTAAACTTCTCTAATGAAGAAAAATATTTTATTCATTGAAGAAAGCAAAACAGTCTTGTCAGAAAGTTATCAAGATAATTGTGGATCATCAAAAAATCAACATATATTAGAGAAACACTAATTGATTCATCATCTAATGATAAAGCTAGCCAGCAAAAAAAAAAAAGTGGACGGAGTTTATAAGTTCTATAAATAATCTTGGAATTGTTTTATAAAAAGATATTTCGGAAACATTCATAAAATATTTAAACATTTTAACAAAAAAAAAAATTCAAAATATAGTTACTTCAACTCAATTATTAATAATGCTTTTAGGTAAATATTTTTAATATTATTTCATAAATATGTAATACAAATATGCAATTTTATTATGTTGCTTAGTTGTTTTTATTGCTTTAGTTCTAAACAGAGAAGAGATATTCCTGTTCAACCAAATTTAGTGGCTAGGAGACTTGGAAACTACAAGGATACTCATCAGATGAGTGTAGCAAGACTTCTTACAAAATAATTTTACAAAATTACAAAATAGTTAAAGTTTAAATAAAAAGTCAAGGAGCCTAAGTGTCTTCATAATTTTTACACAATATTTAAATTTAAACATAAATAATCCCAATAATAAAATAATTATGAAATCATGTTCTTATAAGTATTATGTTCTGGTATATAATTTTAGAATTTCTGCTATCTACAAAATTGACTTTTAATTTGAGTGTCTGGTAATATTATACTTTTAAATGTAAAATGTATATTTNAGCACTTAAATAGTCATAATGTGTTCAAACTTCAATATTGACTACTAGAAAATGTGTTATACAAATTACTTATTATTACTTAGGGTATGTTTATCTATATTATATCTATCAAAATCATATTGTTATACCTAAATGACATTCAGAAGTAGGTATTAAACTAATATATACAATTTGTCAAATTAATATACTATGTAATACAATACTTCCCTAGGCTGACAGATCAGTATACTAATGTATGAGTATGAACATATTTTAAGAGATGTTTTAGGCAATTCAAATTCTAATTAATATATAGTAAGTACATAATATACATATATGTATCATTTTTGACGGATGAGAAACATTACATTGTTGGCCAACTAATAATATAATTTACCGAAAGAAATATAAAATACAACTAACCCAATGCAACAATATTGTGTATGATTTATTATAATGAAAATAAAAAATAAGTAGGTAAAGTAGATATCTAATTAGAGTGATAACTGAATGTTTTATATTAAATTGTGTAAATTAAAATTTAACAAATTCAAATTGGATCATTCAGAATAAAGTAGTTCTGAGTGTACCAACATTTGCAAAATATGTATGATCACTGTTGTAAGTGGGTAGTTAGGAAAGTGGGATTTATAAAGTATGACAATAAAGAGGTAATACTGGGGATGGGTGTGGCTACTGTGTAATGTTATTGGGGAAGGTGGGGTACTCATATTTAGTTACCTTAAACTAGTTAAACTCCATTCACCCCCTATCTCATTATTTTATTAATCAAACATTATTATATAGCATGCAATTTATAATTCAATATATAAATATTAATCTATACCAATATTATACATCATTAGAGTAGCATTTTCGTAGACACGTTAATATCATACCTTGGCAGTGCTGTTCACAAATTGTATAATTGTAGTTGTCGGACAACTTCTCACAATATTTCGAACATGGATCACACTCCCATTCTTGCTCCAAACACATTTGGTATTTAGAACACTCATTTTGTCCGCAAATCTTCCTCAGCAATAATCCGCCTTCCATTATTATGATTTACACTAATCTGCAGAAGAAACGTTATTAATCGATCTTAGCTCTATTAATATACTGTATATGCTATTAGAATAATCAATGTACCTACATTGACACAATAACGAAACCTAGTCAAGTGTACCTATAGATCGTGCGCGTAGTAAAATGAATACAAAAGCTAGGTGTTATCAAAAGATAAACGAAACTTCAAAAAATGTGAATCATCCGTGGGAGGATTTGAGATAACGTGACGATGATAAGTAAGCAGGTAGTTGCACTCTTGTCAATAGAATACACTGTAATATGAAAAAAACCTTCAACACTAACCGAATTTATTCCAATCGGATAAACATTACCAGTACTGCATGTAGTATTTTTTTTTTATAGTATATCGTAATCATTCGATAGAATCGAACCGGACACTGGGTAACCAATGCGCATATTTGCTATAACGACTATTCTGAAGTATGTGACTCAATTATTATGTTATTAACTGATGCTTAGGAATGTCGCCGAGTGTTAGTGGCGTCTTGACTGGCGGCATCTAACCCCGCACTACTACCATCACCGCCATGAAACTGGTGACCGACATCTAAGAGTTATATTGAATACGTATCAGTTATAACAAAATTAAAGAACACATAATATTATGGGACCCTACTTTTTCCGCCCGTTATCGTAATGTCACATAAATATTTTTCTTCGTTTAAGTTTAGAGTTCTTACAGCAGTTGAAGTAAAAAACGTTTTTCCTTTCTCAACATCTTTTTGAAAAGGCCATTTGTAACCTAATATTTTTGAATATTTTTCTCCTTTAAGCGATTCAACATCGTTATATTCAAAACCTAAACAATCAGATAAATACGAATCGAGTCCTACATTAAAGGGGATGATATTTTTAATAATCCTTTTTCAAGTATAACTTATGTATAATATTAAACATTTTTTCGAGTTCTATCAATGAGTATAATACATGATGTATTTTATATAGTGTTATATGTCTATTTCGACCAATAATAAAATTACATTCTATATTCTATATTACATTATGTTAAAATTATCATCCTTATCATGACCAAAACATAAATATTTGTTTACCTTTTCATCTAGATTATAAAAGGCATTAGATTTAATATTAATTTTGTCTCCTTCTACATAAATTTTTAAAGGTTTATCAATTTTATTTAATTTATCTATATTATATTTTCCCGTTTTTAGTTCAATTTTGTTTCCTACAACTTTTAATAAACAATTTACAGACAAGTAGTTATTAAAAAGACTAATGAGTTCATAAGAAATTATAATGAACAATGATTCTATTAAAAACTCTAACAAATCGATAAGTAATAATATTAATAATTTTACGGAATATTAACACCTGAAGATGAAAAATTATTAAACAATACTAGCAACATACTATCTTTAAAATTACACCCTTTTGTTAATTTGCACAAAAAATATCATCCGATAAGACCATTAGTAAATTTTGAAACTCCCCTTTTAAGCTACTAATCTTCCCCTTTTAAACTTAACAAATATTTATATAATTATATAAAAACTAATTAAAATATAAAACAATACACATTCTATCAAAAACACATATTATTTGATTAGAAATATTAAAAATTATAATATTCCGCAAGAATGCAAAATGATTTCATATGATAATAGAAACCTTTACATTTCTCTACCAAAATCAGAAGGAATACAAAGTTTAAAAGAAAATTTAACTACCATTTACTAAATAAAAAATAATGTAATAAATGAAACTATAAAAATATATTTTATAATAATACAATATATTCACAAACTAAAGGTTTAAGTATGGGTAATCCTTTAAGTGTCCTTATCTCAGAAATATACATNAAGCTATATAAGACGTGCTCGCGAACGCGACACGGCAGTTCAGCAGTTCGCGGGCTGTATTCAAATTTAAAATATGGCGGTTTAAAACAGGACGTTACAAGGTATTTAATATCGCAATATTATTATGATAATAAAATAGAATACGAATATAATACATTTAATTTAAATCGTATACTACATTATATTTTTACCATAAAGTTTATTTGCCTGCTGTCAATAAAATTAATTTTTAAATTTTTCATTTGAATTTTTTGTGTTGGTCACACTATCTTATTGGGACGCTCGAACAGTTGACATGTATTTGGTATGTGTAAGTTTTTGCTTGTATAATCATATCTGTGAGTATAATTTTTGTTGACATTAAAATACGTCTCATTCAATACTAATTTATTTATAATACAATAAAATGGGTAAAACACCATGAGTATACTGTTTTTTTTTTTTTATAATACTGTGTACAGAGTAAAATTAAAGTAGCTAATAATTTATTTTTGATAATTATTATGACAATTAAAATTTCAGGAAATTATGTGCCTCTATGATATATAAATGCACCGGAACAAATAATTGCCATTACTTTAATGTGATTAATAGAATATTAAAAGAAAGATCAGAAAATGTTCAGCTTCATCGTGAAAACAACATACGTGACAAATTAGCCGATAAGTATAACGAAAATGGCAATTTGGACTTTAAGAGCTGTAAATATAAACTACCCATAATATATATGCCTGATGTTGGATTTTAAAAATAATCAGCTACGTGCTAACACGTGGAACAATTCATCTGCTGTATATTATTTGTTAAAAAACTATAAGTACATCGATAAAATTATAACCCAAGTTATAGATAAACATAATTTTTAATTTCTACATTTATTAACTAGATCGAGTTTGATAACGGCTGAGAAAGCCCTTAAATTAATGCCAGGATATGAAATAGCATTGTTAAGAGGTATCAACTGTTGCATTCACATGAAAGATTTTAATAAATCATTAATATAATGATAATAATTGGGAAATTTTTCGAAGGCTAAGATATAATAAATTGTTTTTTGGTAATTGTATATTATGAGATGATATTTATGTCGTTTGATTTTGCATAATTAGAAAATTGAGATGGAAAAATGTTTAGTTATGAACATGGAAGAACAAAGAATATCGAAAGAAATAAATAAAAGAGAATTGTAAGTAGTCGACAAAAAAGGTAATTTTATAATTATAATATTTTTAATGATTTTTTTTTTTTTAAAAACAATGTATCTGTTAATAAATCAGTTGGTGATAAAATCGGAGACATAAACATTTTTAATACTGATGACCCTGATGTAATCCCACGAGTACATTTAACAGAAAATCAACGACTCGACTCGTATGGTCAGTTCTTTCTTTTCCAGAGTTTAATGCATCTATTGTTGTACCAAATTTTCACGAAAATGCTACGTTTGTATATATTTATTTGCATCTGAACACTTCTCAAGTGTTTTTCTATTTTTTTAATATTATTTCATAAATTATGCAAGCATATTTTTTTTTTAAGGTTTTATAAACTGTTAGTACACATATTTATTAAAAGAGCACCATGGGATGCTGAAGGCAAATACACTCTAGACACAGTAAATATTTATGATGAAATTTCAGTCAACACTACGACCAGTTTTCTAAAAAAAGTACACCCAGAAAACACATTTTCAAATGTATTGACATTGTTCAGGTACTCAAATTGTTTCTTATGTTTTAAATTTTTCATGTTCGTGTTCTTCTCTTTCCTCTCAATAAGCCACAATTTCTGTTACGATATTCTCTTTAATTCTTTGTTGTCACAAACAAATAAGCATTTATATAGACATAAGGTTTTACTTTTTCATGCTTGCCAATTCCCATCTATTTGTTTGACACACAAAGTTCCACTAGTTGGATTTAAAATATATACAATATTTATTTTTATTGTTTTCAGGTGTCCAATTAAACATGGTGTACCAACGTTTATGATTGTTATTTCTGGAGGAAAATTTGAAAACGGAAATTAAGAAGATTATGTCAAGTATGTTTTAAAAGTGTTTTATCAAAATTTTAATTGAATCTGTGACTTAACATAGATTCAAAAACTACAGTTATTTTGTAACTTTATTTTAAATATTGCATTTGATATGTTTTTACTATAAAATAATATTATAACCCTTTTAAAAATATTCATATGTATGTATAATTAAATGTTTTTTCAGGTAAACATATTGCAGTGAGTATCTGAGCTAAGTTCGATTTGACGTGACGTTAATATTGACCTAAATTGAAAATAAACATTAAATATTAGTATGAATGTATGAGACATGCCTATAAATCATTTAGTATTTTCTGTTTTTTATTGTTAATATATTTTCAGAAACATGTTTAAAATGTACATATTATTAAATTAAATTATGTAAATATTAAATTTATATACATCTGGGTTATAATATTTATGAACTGGGTGGTATTGATGTTCATTAGTTTTATTATTTAGGGACTTACATCTGATACATTAAATGATTTTGTGAGTTAAGAAACTGTTGTATTCTGTACTAATGCAATTGATGTTATCTTTATTATAAATGATGTTACTCTTATAAAAGTGTATTTTGTTTATGGTATTTATGTTTTAACCATTAATTAAAACTATTTTTTTTTTTTTATGTTTTTAATTCTTGAATGTAGTCATAATTGTATAAAGATATATTCTCCAGTCTGTGTAGAATTGATCTAAAATATGTTAATTTTTGTTAGTATAAATGATTATATTTATAAGTTATTATAGCATAAGTTTCCGTAGGTTTTATATTATTATTAAATTCAAATTTACTATTTCATGTTTTAATGTTTGTCTAAAAATTATACTTGAATATCGGATTGCAATTCAATTGTAAATTGTATGTTTTTATTAATTTTGTTCAAT